AAATACATGTAGTAAATATGATAGCGGAAAATAGGTCTGGTGTCAGTACATTAAACAACCGACGGTCAGGAAGGCGGGGTCCAAGAGCTAACAGCTCAATCATCCTGTACACACACACAAACAGTACACACACACAAACAGTACACACACACAAACAGCACACACACACACAGCACACACACACACACACACACACACACACACACACACACACACACACACACACACACACACACACACACACAGGGGGCCTCGTAGCCTGGTGGATAGCGCGCAGGACTCGTAATTCTGTGGCGCGGGTTCGATTCCCGCACGAGGCAGAAACAAATGGGCAAAGTTTCTTTCACCCTAAGTGCCCCTGTTACCTAGCAGTAAATAGGTACCTGGGAGTTAGTCAGCTGTCACGGGCTGCTTCCTGGGGTGTGTGTGTGATGTGGAAAAAAAAAAAAAAAGTAGTTAGTAAACAGTTGATTGACAGTTGAGAGGCGGGCCGAAAGAGCAAAGCTCAACCCCCGTAAAAACACAACTAGTAAACACACACACAAACAGCACACACACAAACAGCACACACACACACACACACACACACACACACACACACACACACACACACACACACACACACACACACACACACACACACAGCACCCCCCCCCCCCCCCCCCGCCTTAACTTCTCATTACAACACGACACACACAATACCAATCACATAACACAACTGAGCAATTGCATCGTTAGATTTTACTTGCCCCCCCCCCTAAAAGGCATCCGAATCACTGTCAACAAACAATTAGCACAAACCCATAGGAAAAAAAAAACCCTGGCACTGTAGTAGCAGGAGAGTGGCTTAGGACGATACGCCGCACAGACCAGCTGGGGACGAGCCGCTCACACACCCACAACAAACCACTCTGGGATAGGGTGTCCCAGCATCGCTACTCTCCCACTGACGTCTGTGTTAGTGTGATGGCAACCACCTCACACCTGGCAAGGTGGCGTCAGTCACTATAAGCCACATGGCAGCCACATGGCAGCCTCAAGGCAGGGGAGGGGGGGGCGGCCAGGTATAATACTTCTCATACAAACGTGAAAGACAGAAGAGGCAAAATTGCCATCGAGAGATCCTTCCTTTTTTGCAACCCTTGTAAAGATTTTTCCATATTTCTGTTAGATTAAAGTGCTAAATAGCGATAATCTTTGAGAGAGAGAGAGAGAGAGAGAGAGAGAGAGAGAGAGAGAGAGAGAGAGAGAGAGAGAGAGAGAGAGAGAGAGAGAGAGAGAGAGAGAATGAGAGAGAGAGAATGCGAGAGAGAGAATGCGAGAGAGAGAATGCGAGAGAGAGAATGCGAGAGAGAGAGAGAATGCGAGAGAGAGAATGCGAGAGAGAGAGAGAATGCGAGAGAGAGAGAGAATGCGAGAGAGAGAATGCGAGAGAGAGAGAGAATGCGAGAGAGAGAATGCGAGAGAGAGAGAGAGAGAGAGAGAGAGAGAGAGAGAGAATGCGAAAGAGAGAGAGAGAGAATGCGAAAGAGAGAGAGAGAATGCGAAAGAGAGAGAGAGAGAGAGAGAGAATGCGAGAGAGAGAGAATGCGAGAGAGAGAGAATGCGAGAGAGAGAGAGAGAGAGAGAGAGAGATAGAGAGAGAGAGAGAGAGAGAGAGAGAGAGAGAGAGAGAGAGAGAGAGAGAGAGAGAGAATGCGAGAGAGAGAATGCGAGAGAGAGAGAGAATGCGAGAGAGAGAGAGAGAAAATGCGAGAGAGAGAGAGAGAGAGAGAGAGAATGCGAGAGAGAGAGAATGCGAGAGAGAGAGAATGCGAGAGAAAGAGAGAGAGAGAGAATGCGAGAGAGAGAGAGAGAGAGAGAGAGAGAATGCGAGAGAGAGAGAGAAGAGAATGCGAGAGAGAGAGAGAGAGAACGAGCGAGAGAGAGAGAGAGAGAGAGAATACGAGAGAGAGAGAGAGAAAATGCGAGAGAGAGAGAGAGAGAGAATGCGAGAGAGAGAGAGAATGCGAGAGAGAATGCGAGAGACAGAGAGAGAATGCGAGAGAGAGAATGCGAGAGAGAGAGAGAGAGAGAGAGAGAGAGAGAGAGAGAGAGAGAGAGAGAGAGAGAGAGAGAGAGAGAGAGAGAGAGAGAGAGAGAGAGAGAGAGAGAGAAGAGAGAGAGAGAGAATGAGAGAGAGAGAGAATTAGAGAGAGACAGTCCATTCAAGAAGAATGAACCTAGACTGTTAGGGGACTCAATGTTCGCAGTCAGCATTAAGATGGTAGAGGGTGATTCTAGAGGCACACACATATACCATGTGTTACATATATACCATGTGTCACATATGTACCATGTGTCGAGGACTGCCGGCCTCAACTGCGTGTGGGTGGCGGCGCCGCAAGGAGGCTTGGGGGCGGGGTGACAAATGTCATACTTGTCTCCTAAGAAGACCTAATATGCTGCTTCTAACTTCCACCTTGACGTTACCTTGAGTTGGCTCCAAGGATCATTGTCCTGTCCCCCGCGGCCCGGTCTCTGACCAAGCCTTCTAGTTAACGACTTGGTCAACCAGGCTGTTTGGATGCCGCTGTAGGCAGTCTGACGTAGAAAACTCGGCAGGGTAAATCATGAATGCTTTGGAGGTGTTTATTAAAGCTTCCTTCTGAACACCCTTAAGTGTGTATTGAGAAGTCTTGGGGCCCTTAATTTATAAGAATTGTCTCTTATACTATTTATTCCATCATTACTTTATGATGACTTTTATTTGATATATTCTGCCATACCTCCTGTTCTCCTGAGAAATAACTGCCCTGTGCACATTTGGAACCTGTCGCTCTAATATTTATCATGTGTATGTAATGTATTTCTCTCCTCTCGACTCCCAGGAATATAATGAGAGATTTTATATAATGAGAGAATAATGAATAATAATAATGAGAGTCCTCCCAATAATTTCCGTGTTTTATTAAGAGAATTTGTGCAGAGACAAATTCTGCACGTGCTGCAAGTCAGCAGCTTCTGCAGCTGTGACTGTGGCTGCTCGTGAGCCACAATATCCCACCCTAGAGAGCACAAGTGCCATAAAATGTACCGACATCTCAGGTTTAAAAGGTACTTGCTATCCAGCCTGTCATTCGTCTTGCAGTCGTGACAGCTACTTTATTGAGTTCTTCAAGAGTAGTAAGGTCTTGCGACATTATTACTCCCAGATCATTTATGTTGCTTTTGGGGCAATTGTGTGATTTGAGTGCGTTTAATGTTCTTCCAGTTTTGATTTCATCCTTTTTATCTGTAGTGGAGTTGGAACTTGTCTTGGATTGATGTCCATAGGGAATGGAAAGGATGGGGGAGGTAGAGGGATGGGGAGATGAAATTCAGGATTCATGTTGTTTTCCGTCATTAAAGGATCTAATTAACATCAGATTGGAAGTTTGCTGCGTCCTCTATGTTGTCTTCTCTCATAAAAAATGCTAGTGTCATCTGCAGAGTACGGTACTTGGTACTATACGGTACTATAGTTTGTGCAGGCGAGGAGTCACAATAACGTGGCTAAAGTATGTTGTGACCAGACCACACACACTAGAAGGTGAAGGGACGACGACGACGTTTCGGTCCGTCCTGGACCATTCTCAAGTCGATTGTGAGAATGACTTGAGAATGGGTCCAGGACGGACCGAAATGTCGTCGTCCCATCACCTTCTATACTTTGTGTCCTGGTCTGTGTCCGACACGAGCATGAGAGAACACTTCAGCAAGCACAGTACCCTGGGAAGAGGGGGGGAGGGGTGAGGGGGCTGAGCTCTTCGCGGTGGATGGTCCGATTTTTTTCTTTGTTGACTATTGCACTCTTAGGTTCTGTCCGCCAGGGACATTAAAGATCACACAATCGACTTGAGAATGGTCCAGGACGGACCGAAACGTCGTCGTCCCTTCAATTTCTAGTGTGTGGTCTGGTCAACATACTTCAGCCACGTTATTGTGACTCCTCGCCTGCATTAAAGATCCATCTTCCTACTTTGGCAATTATTTTATTTCGTGTTCATTTGATGCCATACACATGGTGACGTTTGACACACTTGGTGTGTCAAGTGCCAAGTCTGGGTACATTCCGTCAGCGTTTGGTTGTCTTCCATGGCATCTAGTGCCAGGTGATAGTGGTCTTATAAGAGGCAGGAACACCTTGCTCACATCCCAAGTTGTCTAGGGTTACCTACACATTTTGACCTCGTAAGATTACGTACAGAAATCACAATAGCGTGACGCATCAAATGAACAAATCCACAATGGTCGTGACGAAGATTCGAACCTTATTGACAGAGCTCATGTGCATGGGGGGAATTGTGTAAAAAAAAACCTGGTTTGTATCTCTGAGAGACTGCAGGATCCGTGGTAGGTCAAGTTGATTTCCCGGTTGCAATTCTTATCCATGTCGTAGCTCAGTCGATTAAGACGTGTCTGGGATCCTCTCGGACGTAAGTTCGAACCCTCGTCACGGCCCTTGTGGATTTGCTCATAAGATTGTTATCTTATTTAGCACTCTTTCGAAGGTTTTTATGCTCTGTAATGTTAAGTCAGAAATTGGCATCTGCTTTGCAGCCTAAGTGTCAAGAATGACACCTGTAGTCTGGCTCCGTCTGCAAATGATGTTTAGCGCCCTTGATAGGTTCTTTTTCCCCACGAGTGTGGGCTCAAAAGTTGAGGTGAGTTAGAGTGAGATGCGAGAAGTGACTCGAGGTTGGTGTCACGTTCAGGAAGACTGCAAGTGTTGTCAATCCTCAGTGTATTCAGGGGCTGGTTTACCAATTAGTGGTATTGCAACTTCATCACTGTTTTACCTATTAACTCTTTAAAATAATCTCACGCAAGAGCCAATGTGATTTTTGTTGTGGCTCTCAATTTTGCACCAAAATATAGGTTTTAATTTTTTAATTGACGATTGTCAATTGTGTGTAAACATTGGCATATTATGTGTGAGAGGGAGGAAGGAGGGGGTGGGGGGTTATGGGGTTACTAACCTGTATGTGCTCAAGGAGAGAGGTGGTTGGGTCTAGGGTGACGTCACAGTGCCGCCAGCGACACACATCCGCCCCTTCCTTCTTCTCCGGGGCCGGGAAGCGGACGGTGGGCGTGGGCGTGGAGGTGCCCGAGCTGGGGGCGGAGGAGCCCACGCCGGAGCTGGCGGAGCTGCTCCTGCTCTTGGTGGCACAGGGGGTGGTGTGGGCGGGCGGGGGCGAGGACTTGGCCGAGCAGCGGGCGGCAGTGGGGGAGAGTGGGGGCGGCTGGTGGGCGGCCCTAGAGCAGAGGGCGGGCGGCGGCACCCCGACATCACAGCTCAAAGATAAGCCCAAAGATGGGTGGTGAGGGATTCCCTGAGAGGCGCCGCGCTTGGCGAGGAGGGAGGGCGACACGCCGCCTGGGTGGGCGGGGTGGGTCACTTTGGTGGGCGTGGTGGGCAGCCGGGCCGAGGGCAGCTCCGTGTTGTTGTTGTTGTTGTTGTTGGCGGCGGTGGTGAGGTGGGCGGCCTTCCGCCGCAGCTCCTCGCCAACAACCCGCCGCACCCCGTTAACGCGCTCCGGCCGCACCATGTTAACCCGCCCGTTAACACTACCGTTAAAACACTTAATGCCATTTTTACTTAAAATGTGTCCCGCGCCGTTTTGTAGCGGGTCCTTGGTGAGTCCGTGGTTGACGGCGTGGTTGACGGCGTGGTTGACGGCGTGGTTGACGGCGGGAGGGGCGTGCTTTTCGACCGCCTCCGACAAGCTCGCTAGCCGCTGCAACAGTGCCGCCGCCTCCCCGTTCACGCACCCGTTGAGGCGTCGCACGCCGTTAATTGGCGAGGGCGGCGGCGACGACGCCCTCGCCAGCTTAGTGTGCCTCTCCGCGTCGAGGGTAACCTCCCCCGACCGCTTGCGGTCCTGGCCCACCTGCACCCTGCGGCGCCGGTGCGCGGCGTGGTGCGGAGCGGTGCGGCGCGTGGCCCGCACTGGCAGGTGGGCCGCATCGGGCGGGCGGTCCTTGTGTGGCGTGTGGCCCACCTGGCTACCCGGGCCAAACCTGCCCATCAGCTGGTCGCCGTCGTGGCCACCCTTCCGCCCCATACGGACACCCGAGCCATCATTGGGCGCCATGCAGTTCAGCTGGTGTACATGGTGGGCGGGTGTGGGTGAGGGTGTGTTGCGGTGCGGCCCCGCCGTGGGCGTGGGCGGGGTGGCGGGTCCGGGGCAGCAGTCGTCGAGGTCCTCCTCGGGGCGAGGCGGCGGCGAGCTCGTCAGCGAGGAGCAGGGCGAGGACGCGAGCCACTCTCCTCCCACACCACTGAAACACACAACATCGCGTTAGACGCCGCACAAACATCATCAACACATCACAATATACAATCAACAACACATCACAATGTACACAAATCAACACATCACAAAGTATACAAATCAACACATCACAATGTACACAAATCAACACATCACAATGTACACAAATCAACACATCACAATGTACACAAATCAACACATCACAATGTATACAAATCAACACATCACAATGTATACAAATCAACACATCACAATGTACACAAATCAACACATCACAATGTACGAACATCAACACATCACACAATACAGAGCGAGGGAGAGGGAATCGTGGGATGTGCAGGAGGAAAAATACCTTGGTGTGAGAAGGAAAGGGAGGGAGGGGAGGCGGGAAGGGAAGCCGCGGGGGGGGGGGGGGCCGCTATAAAATCCATGGGATGGTAAGGGGGGGTAAGAGGAGGGGGAGATGTAAAGGATGGTTGGGAGGGTGTGGAAGAGCGTCGTGGAAGAGGCAGAGCAACACGGCTCATTACCTTCACAACACCCTCCCTCCCCCCCATATCTGTCCCACTTCCGTCGGAACTCCTACTCTACCGCTGAGCAATGCTCCCTCTACTCTAGCTGTCCCCTCACCATCTACCCCTCACCCTCTACCCCCTCACCGTCTACCCCTCACCATCTACCCCTCACCCTTGCTTGCTTCCCGGCTGGTCACCTAACATGACCAACTTTACATTTAATAATTGCCGTTGTCGGGAACAATAACAACAACATCGGGGACAGAAAGCCTGGACTTAGGCTTAGCAAGGTTTACCCCCCACCCTTTACCCAGGCCAGCCACTGACCCTTCCCCAGGATCCAACCCCCCCCCCACAACTACCCCCACTCCCCGGTAACTATTTTACTGCTGGGTGAACGGAGGCATCAGGTAAAAGGAAATGTGCCTAACCGTTTCTGTCCTGCCTGGGGCTTGAGCCAAGGACGCAGACCACTGCGCTACAAGTGGTAGTAGATGAACAAACAAAACAAAGGAACAATCAACAAGCAAATATAAACAGCCACTATAAATATAAACAATCAAATATAAAGGCCGAGGTCTGCTCCCCAGGCGACCCAGAGCGGGGGGGGGGGGGGGGGGGAGGGGGGGGGGGGGGGGGGGGACGGGGATGGGGGGACGGGGGGGAGGGGGGGGGGACGGGGGGGGGGACGGATGGAGCGGGGGGGGGGAGGGGGGGACGGGGAGGGGGGACGGGGGGGGGGGGGGGGGAGGGGGGGACGGGGAGGGGGGGGACGGGGACGGGGAGGGGGGGAAGGGGGGGAGGGAGGCAATTATCAAGGAAAAGCGCCAAGCCATTACGACCATATAGCACTTGGAAGGGGTCTGGATAAGGGGAGAGTGACAGACAGACAGATGCTGTCCATTACTGCTAAAATTCTCGAATCACTAATCGCTCGACAAATGGTATATTTTTTTTACCATCATCGGTTACAATGAGATCGACAGTATGGTTTTAGGAAAGACCGACCGACCTGCTGCAGAACTCTTGCTAAGTCTAAAGCAGTCCTCAACGGAGCACAATCCGAAAGCCACTCAATTGATGCCAGCGTCCCACAGGTGAGTGTGGTGCTTGGCCCTCTTCTGTGGAATGTCTATTTCAATAACCTAGGTAGAGAGAGAGGGAGAGAGAGAGGGAGAGAGAGAGGAGAGAGAGAGGGAGAGAGAGAGGGAGAAGGAGAGAGAGAGGTAGAGAGAGAGAGGTAGACAGAGAAGGGGTGGGGACCGCAGGAGGAGGAAGGCGGCTACAAGAGACTAACAAAGCAATCAAAAGAAAGAGAGGAAGCAGACAATTATCCGGGAGGCAGCGACCGCAACGTGACCGCACTCTCGGCTCAACCACCTCACCATACTCGCTAATATCGCGTCTTTCACGTGTCTCAACCTACTCACAACTACACCATTAATGATGGTGATCAGACAGGAGTCCATTTCATGTGGATTCCGTCTCATGTTGGCCTCCGTAGGCACGATACAGCTGATAAATTTGGTAAAGACTCTGCCTTCAAAACAGGAGTTGACTGTAACCTTGGATTGCCTAACATCAAGCAGGTACCAGCAACTTAAGGGCAATAATAGACAGCTTTAAAGATACAACAAATCTGAGGTAAAGTACCATTATCAGTTCCATCTATCGTGACACAGTCATACAAGACGAGCCACACACACACACATCTATGGATCATCCAATACAATCAGCAGACTCCTTGATGTTAGTACTGCTTGGTTCACATTAGGCTACAAGTATCTCTGGGAATGTTCATTACCTGCTAACGTAGACCTGACCAAATGTAAACTGTGTCAACAAAATTATTCTCACACCCTCCGTCACTATGTGATGGAGTGCGGAAGGATGCGAGAGATTAAAGACAGCTCCGTAACAAATGTTCAAAAAATATGCAAATATTTAATTCAAAATGATCTATCAGAAATTTATCCAAATCTCGCCAGGTAGCTAACTGTAGGTAGTAACTACAGGTATACCTGTATAGGGCCTCGTAGCCTGGTGGATAGCGCGCAGGACTCGTAATTCTGTGGCGCGGGTTCGATTCCCGCACGAGGCAGAAACAAATGGGCAAAGTTTCTTTCACCCTGAATGCCCCTGTTACCTAGCAGTAAATAGGTACCTGGGTGTTAGTCAGCTGTCACGGGCTGCTTCCTGGGGATGGAGGCCTGGTTTAGGACCGGGCCGCGGGGACACTAAAGCCCCGAAATCATCTCAAGATAACCTCAAGATACCTGTATACCTATATACAGTCACCTATACCTAGGGTGACTGCAACCTTTTCATCGCCGCCCATTGGATGGGGTGGGATTGATAAGCAACTCAAATTATGAAACTACCTCACCACGTATGTAAGATGCTTAGCTTAAGAGACTGTACTTGTAGACGTTCTCCAACCCACTGTTATAATTATTCTTTAACATATGTAACTGGCTTACCAAGACTAACTTCTTTAGCTAAATATATTTTGGGGCTCAGTTCCCACACCTGTTAATTATGTTCCTTTGTAACCTTTCCCCACCACCGCCCACAGTATGGGCATGGTTCACCACCGCCCACAGTATGGGCATGGTTCACCACCGCCCACAGTATGGGCATAGTTCACCACCGCCCACAGTATGGGCATAGTTCACCACCGCCCACAGTATGGGCATAGTTCACCACCGCCCACAGTATGGGCATAGTTCACCACCGCCCACAGTATGGGCATGGTTCACCACCGCCCACAGGATGGGCATAGTTCACCACCGCCCACAGGATGGGCATAGTTCACCACCGCCCACAGGATGGGCATAGTTCACCACCGCCCACAGGATGGGCATGGTTCACCACCGCCCACAGGATGGGCATGGTTCCCTACCGCCCACAGGATGGGCATAGTTCACCACCGCCCACAGTATGGGCATAGTTCACCACCGCCCACAGGATGGGCATAGTTCACCACCGCCCACAGGATGGGCATAGTTCACCACCGCCCACAGGATGGGCATGGTTCCCCACCGCCCACAGGATGGGCATAGTTCACCACCGCCCACAGTATGGGCATAGTTCACCACCGCCCACAGGATGGGCATAGTTCACCACCGCCCACAGGATGGGCATAGTTCACCACCGCCCACAGGATGGGCATAGTTCACCACCGCCCACAGGATGGGCATGGTTCACCACCGCCCACAGGATGGGCATAGTTCACCACCGCCCACAGGATGGGCATGGTTCACCACCGCCCACAGTATGGGCATAGTTTCCCACCGCCCACAGGATGGGCATAGTCACCACCGCCCACAGGATGGGCATAGTTCACCACCGCCCACAGGATGGGCATGGTTCACCACCGCCCACAGTATGGGCATAGTTCACCACCGCCCACAGTATGGGCATAGTTCACCACCGCCCACAGGATGGGCATAGTTCACCACCGCCCACAGTATGGGCATAGTTCACCACCGCCCACAGGATGGGCATAGTTCACCACCGCCCACAGGATGGGCATAGTTCACCACCGCCCACAGGATGGGCATATTTCACCACCGCCCACAGGATGGGCATAGTTCACCACCGCCCACAGGATGGGCATAGTTCACCACCGCCTACAGGATGGGTATAGTTCACCACCGCCCACAGGATGGGCATAGTTCACCACCGCCTACAGGATGGGTATAGTTCACCACCGCCCACAGGATGGGCATAGTTCACCACCGCCCACAGGATGGGCATAGTTCACCACCGCCCACAGGATGGGCATAGTTCACCACCGCCCACAGGATGGGTATAGTTCACCACCGCCCACAGGATGGGCATAGTTCACCACCGCCCACAGGATGGGCATAGTTCACCACCGCCCACAGGATGGGCATGGTTCCCCACCGCCCACAGGATGGGCATGGTCCACTATCACTCATAGGATGGGTACAGGGCGCAAAATAACTTATAGATGACTTATAGAGTGGATTCTAGCGACAAAGGATCATTGCACGCTCTCCAGGTCAGCAATTTCTCCGGCTCTGAGTGGGGCTGTCACTATGCAACACTATTCCACCCTAGAGAGCACTTTTGTCTTGAAACTTATCATCACTGATATGGCATCCCTTGTTTGGAAGGTCCCTGTTATCCAACCTGTCATTTTTCCTGCAGTCGTGACAGCTACTTTATTGTGTTCTTGAAAAGGAAAATTCTTCCGATATTATTGCTCCTAGATCCTTTACATTGCTTTTTCGTTGTATAGTGTGATTTGATTCCGTTTTTTTTTATATATGGTTTCCGTTTTTACATGTTCGTTTTTTCCATAGCATACGAGCTGGTACATGTTCGTTTTTTCCATAGCATACGAGCTGGTACATGTTCGTTTTTTCCATAGCATACGAGCTGGAACTTATTTTCATTAAAATAATATTATTATCTGTGGCCCATTGAAAGACCCGATTGACATCAGACCTGATGATGCCTCTAC